TATACTCAGTCTATTCGCTCAACAGTTCACACCCTTCCATTGTAAGTATTCTCAAGATCCTTTCACTATATTGAAATCGTCCTTTTAAAATACCACAATTAATCATCACATGCACTAGTACATTAACCACTGCAATTATTACTTGTGTTGTTTCCAAGGCTTTCTATATTTTTGAAAAGTGGAAGGGGCTGATGATTTGGCAAACATTATTGAATTTTATTGCAGACACATGTTGAGAAATCCATCACAGATTGTCAGGCAAAATTCAGCCAAAATCACGGATAAATTGAGAGATTTCGCCAAAAACAGCACACTTTCTCGCAGACTTTGTGAAAACTGCTAATTTTCTGCTAGGCTTTAGTGAAAAACAAGCTGTCTGCCAGATTTTCCAGGCAGTTAGGAGAAAAATTTCCTAGGCAAGTCCAAAAAGTGGGGGCTAGCCTACTTCATTCCCTCCCACATCGTGGGCACTAGTTGTTTCTTCAGAGAGTAGTCTTGGGCGACTAAACTGTCAAAAAGAAAGTAAATCAATAACTCTTAGAACCATAACACAACGTAGCAAAAACGATGTAAAATAGGTGAACACAGTATATAAGAATTAAATATTGGTTGATATGAATAAGTGATACTTTGAAATGCATAAATTTCTTGTTTTTAATAGTGTACAATTTTAGCAGTCTATGCGTATACTTAAAAAGAGATAAAATGATAGTGTATCATATATCTAAAGAGCTTTGAATGGAATAGAATTTAATATTCCTCTGACCAACAATTTGATCAGAGCCGTTTAACAGATAAATATGCATTAGAAACCTATGGCACTACAGAACTGCTAAGACATATACGTACCGAATACAATGAAAGAACACTCCACTCAAACAGTTTTCTAATAGCCTACGCGAACATACAATCTAGTTTGATACCTGAAGTTGTAAACAAATGATAAAAACTTTACAGGACTAAGAAAATTACACTACTGAAAAATTATATTCCCAAATCCAAACCGTTTGGGTTATTCGAAACCAAAGGGAAATCAAATCCAAACATTAGGTATCAAAACCAAATCCAAATCCAAACATTAGATAACAAATCCAAACAAAACCCAAATATCAGATGTCAAATCCAAACCTAAATTCGAATCCAAACTTCCTAATATCAAATCCTAAATGTTCGGGTTTGTTGCATCCCTAGGTATCGCTTAAAAAAAACTACACGAACACCCATACCCCTTGGGACATCCTGTATTTTCGTTACCATTCGCGTAGTTTTTGGGGAAATAGGCAATATATTTTTTTACTTATTGTTTTCTTTATGGTTTGCTATAACAATGAAGAAATAAGATGACAATATTTCGAGAGTTATAGAACCTTTTGAATGAAAAAATTTGAAATCTGATATAGTCTTTATGAACAGTATTCGAAATTTTAACTTCTTTCTTTAGATAAGGAAAGAAAATGGGGGAAGAATGCTTTCTTTTCAATATAAAAGGTATTTGATATTGGTTAAGTGAAGCGTATGGGTCCCATCATCTTAGACTTTTCTTGGTTTCATCGAGACCTTTTCTCACAGTAAAAATTGGAAGTCAAAGGGTATCTGAAGTTAGAGATGCTTTCTTGTTAGCGTCGTTTTAATGTAACATAGGAGAATATCAAATATCACGTAGTCTACTGTTACTCATATTGAAGTCAATGTGCATCGCAAGAAGCGAACGCGTAATCATAAACGAAAGTATTCTTCTTGATTGTGTCACTATAAAAATAAATATTTCAAGGGGAATCAAACATTCTTGAAGTTTGAAACTACATAATTAACTCCATTTATAGTAAGAAAGGTGCAAACAAGACATGGACGAGGTCAATTCAGATATTGCGAAAGGGATATAGTTGTGGAACATAGTAACGATAGAATGCGAGTCAAGATCGATATTTTATTTGCGAAACGAACGATCCCAATGAAAGAACGTATTTTTCCTCATATTGTGAATTCTTATTTTAGTCTTATTTCCAATAAATATAAGTATACATGGTCGCGCGTGGAAAAGAAATAAAATTGAAATCAGAAAAGAAGTGAACTAGCAATATTTTTAGGATATTGAGATCTACTCGATCCTAGAAATATGCTGGCTAAAAAACGACAAGCCAAAAATCTTTATTGAAAATGGTTTGTGAACAAGAATCTCAATTATGTCTTCAATTAAATCAAGTTTTGTTATTCAACTGAACTACCTAACCGATTGCATACTCTTACTCTTCTACGAAGAGTTTAGTATTATTTTCGAATGATTACAGAATCTTTGTCTGACAAGTCGCTTGTCTGTGCATAATCAATAATAAGAACTGGCAGGTATCCTGACACATTCAGATCACTTATGTGATCCTTGTACGTTCTATATATGACACTTGAGAAAAGTTTGATTTTGTTTTAGACAACAGTCTTCGTTTTTATCATAATATTTTAAAAAAATGACTGGAAATCGTATGACAATAAAACAAACAATGAACATATAGAGATAGATTATCAAAATATTTTTCTGTTTAGTTACAAGATTTATCTAAAGATAAACTAATTCGTATTATTATTAAATAGGAACAAATAATTACAACAAAAATTGAATCTAATGAACAGGTAATCAAGTATATACTCAATTTTAGTTCTTTATTCTCATGTAGCGGATCTTTACAACTCATACTTTTCTGAAAGTGATCAGACATCAAAACTTAACTGTAACCTTCTTATTTGGTCTATATATTAATGATCGAAATATTGTAAAGATAATATTGCTTATTTTGTTTGACCGAATTCATCAAACACCGTCATCATTAATTCTTCTGAAGTATTTGTTAGATTGTCATGTGAATCATCAAAAAATAACAAACAACAATAAAAACCAAGTAATGAGTATTGAACTCTTTTTAAAATTGAATAATTGTTCAATAAACAGAGCCGTAATTGTACGTTATTAGTTTCTTTTCTACAAACTTTGAATATGAAAATTCAGATAGAAAAAAGGGTATCGTTGTATTTAGATAAGTCGCAAAATTTAGTGCTTTAAATACTTTTCAAATAAACAATGTACATAGGAAATAAGATTAAAATGATTGAAATATTTTTCTTTGAATCTGTTTAATAATTTAGGTATCAATAATATTCATATCTATATTATCATATATGGTCTTCTCAAATTGAATTATTAATCACATGCTTGTAAATGCTTTGACGATGACAAAAGATTGTTAAAGATATTCAAATCTTTTCAAAATCAATTTGGCTGTGAATTTGAATTGCACTTTCGTTTATACTCACTCGCCTTCGCCCATGTATTCCAATTACCGAGTTACCATCGATTGCAATGTATTATGATCGAACATTATATAAAAATGCAATGGAAGCTGCAGCAAATAATAATCTATCAAGATCAAAGCCGTTTCATAAAAATTACTATCATGCTGAATAAAGATTTGGAATTGATTATCAAATAAATTAAAAAAGAAGACTTGATAGATCAAGAACATAGATTAAGGACCAATATTTGCATACTCTAATAGACTTCGTGTATTCAATATTATTTATGCGATTGGTAATGATATTCCTTAATCGCTCATTATAATACTGATAATAACCATTTTATGGTTCACAATTCCAATTGCAACAAACGATCATTTTTCTGGTGACTATGCAAGAGAAATATAAAAGATTGCCAAGATTCACCAGAGCATGGCTCAATAAAAATGCTAGATTAAAGAGAAACAACCATTGAACATTTATGATAATCATAAGCTCACTCGTTATATTCTAATTCTTCATCATTTTTGTTCTAAAGTCACCTGTGTTAATGTGTAGGAAAGGTTACGAGCTTTGTTTGTTCTTCGATTCTATTTTTCATTATAAGCACACTTTTTTTATGAACATTTTCTGGAAAAATTAAGAAAACAAAATGAAAAAAATAGTTTTTAAAACAAAATAGAGTGACAACATACAAACTGTCATATTGAAATGATCCTTGATATGCAAAGAGAGATTTGAAGAAAGCTTGTTTCAAGATAGAAATATTTCAATACGATTGTCCGAAACAAAAATTTCATATAGTCATTACAAATAAATAGAAACACATAAAACTAAGAAAATCTTTTCTTTTAAAGAAATTTTCTTCTCATTTTCAACTGTACATAACAATATATTAATCTTACTCTTTCTTCATCATCGGAAGCAACTAAGAATGTGGGTATGAGTGTAGATGGAAAAAAGATTCACATCCACACCCACGACCACACACCGCAGCCCACACCCACATCCTTGTTATTATTGACTCGCAGTCTTTCCTTCGTATGGCATCTTTCTATCGCATACAGAAATGAATAATTATTG